GGGTGCTCTGGGAGGAACGGTTGGAGAAAGGACTGGAGGGAGGCAACATGTCTGGACTGGCAGTAATAGGCCTTGCGTTACTGCTGGTAACCCTGTCTTCCCTTTGTGGAATTAGAGGAGGTCGGAACATGTGGCCTCCTTGTCGTTTTAGCAGACCCCTAATATCCATTTTATCTGCCCTAGATCCACAGCTGGGCCACACTCACCCTGGGATTACTTGCCTTATGAATCAATAGTAAAATGGGTCATGTTATATGAGGGCTGAATTACAGTGAGATATTTGACAAGAATTTTAAGATCTTTAAATGAAACAATTGACACAAAACTGAAATTATTAAACAAGATGTAAACAGTTTACATATTGGTTAGAAAACTTTAATATGCAAGTTACCTGCAGCAATTTCCTGGTTAATATGTTGGACTTGCAAACTGAAAATTTGTTCTTGTATTTTGCTGTGTGACAGTTTTAGCTTCTCTCGTCTGCTTATCATGTAGCACAAATTTCGGACCTGAAACCCCCCAGCAAACAGAGATTTTTGTCATGTTAAAGCAAACCTGATAAATGAATTGTATAGCTAAAATTAAGACAACTAATGGGACTGGGGGGACAAGGAGAGAAGACAGAACCTAAAAGCTGCATTATGAGACCTGCTCCACAGGAATTCATGCAGCATTGCCAGTAGTGGGATTATGGTTTCCATATAAACCAGCAGTGCAAGCAAAACGCTCCAAAGTCACCTCCTGAAACCTATTCTCCCTGCAGTGTTATGGGCTCAATATTTATTTGCACAGCCAGGCTGGGAAGATCGAATGATGGTTTAACATATCTGCCTTCCTTTTAGATCCCTGAGTACAAATGATGTCAATGCTGGATCCAATACAATTTTCTAATGAGCGCTGGACCAGCAGGATATAGGTCTGTTGGAAAGACTAGAAGTAGCTGTTTTGCTCACACTTTCAGCTTAACCAGGTTTCCACAGCTACAAGGGTGAAACAGTAACTCATCTGGACAAATTCTTAACTTTTCTGTGCCCCAGTTTATTCATTTGTAAACAAAGATGATAATAGGATTTTCTTTGTAGTCATGTTAAGATTAAATTAGTTGATATTCATAAAATGCTTAAAATAGTGTTGGCACATAATAAGTAACATATAAATTTAGCATGTGTGTTAAATTTTAAAGAGTAAGCCAAATCTATTTGTTCTCTTTCAAATTACAATAGCACAGAAAAACAAAAACAAAAACCCAAACCATTTCTATAATTATACTTGCTTATGAAATTCTCTAGGGTAAACACAGTACCTGGCTTATCTCTGAAATCCTGTAGCTCCCAATTTGGTAGATACCTGACAAATACATCATGAGTTAAGATGAATTATCTAGTGCAGTGGCTGTCAACCAGGGATGATTTTGACTTTAGGGGGTATTTGTCTGTCTGGAGACATTTTTGGTTGTCACAAGTAGAGGGTGGTTGTTAATGGAATCTAGTGGATAGTCCAGGGATCCTGCTAAACATTGTATATATATGGGACAATCCCCACTACAACAAAGAACTATCCAGTCCAGTATGTTAATAGTGCTTCCTGAACAAAATTCATTCTTTCTTCAGTTTACATTCTCGTATGTATGCCAATAAAATATGCCCGAACTAATTCAGGCTCAATACTGAATAAAAAGTAAATCAAATGAGAATTTTAAATTTAAAGTTCATAGAACATATAAGTAAACCCTCTCCAACCCCTCAAATGTGTCAGTCAAAATCTAAACAGAGCTCAATATATGGTGCCAAAATGAAATCAGAAGATTAACAAAGACGTTGTTATGTGCCATCGAGTCATACCTGACTCATAGCGACCCCTCCCTTGGGTTTCCGAGGTGGTACCACTACGGAAGTAGATTGCCCAACCTTCCTTCTGAGGAGTGGCTGGTGGGTTTGAACCACCAGCCTTCTGGTTAGTAGTCAAGTGCCTTAGGCACTATGCTACCAGACCTCCTAACAAAGATACAGAAGCCCACTATAGAATCCGCTGACCTTTCAATACAAAGTGAGGCCTCCATTTCTATGCAGTCCTAGATCTACATACCAGTCACTGTTGATCATCTTACCCTTTCCAGGTCCTGTCGCAGATGCATAAACATCCTCATGCGGGTGTGAATGCTTTCCTCTTTCGGCTGTACCAGAGCATTTTCTTCGTCTTCCTTTGGAGGAAACAGTGGTTTATTGAAGTTACTTTTACGCTTCAGTTTCCAGTAGTTGTAAATGCAATCCGCAACCAGCGTGGGCAGCCCTAGCTCTGCAGCTACATCTTCCACCCGCACCAGGGAGTAGAACTCTTCCTCCAGCTCCCGAAGCTTCTGAGCCCGAAGGCTGGTCTTTTCACTTTTGGCCTGGCTCTGCTCTGCAGCTCTGTGTGTGGGGAACTCAGCCTCCACTAGGGGGTTCTGCTTGTTCTGGCTGTGCTTGAGGCAGTACGACTTGAACTTCACTTCATCTCTCTCATCGAGGATGGTCTTCATCTCTAGGCTGTGCTCAAAGGCACAAGTGACATGGAAGGCAGTGATGCAGCTTTTCACTGAGCACTGTGGGAAGAAAAGATGTGTCAAGGCAGCAGGTGGGAAAGTGGGGAGGCCTATGTTCTGGGGTTTAAACTGAGAGCTTACAAGAAGCAAAGAAAAATGGGGGGGAACACCCAATTCCCTTTTTAGGGCTTCAGGTTAGGTATTAAGTTTTTCCAAAAAGGCTTCCTTAACCCTTGTTAAACAGTCTTGTGGTCCCTTTTCTGTGTCCCCACATTATATTATACATGCTTCTGTAATGGTCCCTTTATACTGTATGATAATTGTCAAATCCCTGGTCATAGTTGTTAAAGATAGAAACTGTTATCATTCATCTTTACATTACCATCACCTACTGAACAAGTAGGTGCTTGCCAATATTATTGCTACAGCATCCACTACTTCTAAAAAGGTCACAGTAACTCCAATATACTTCAAGAAGTAACTTAATTTCTTGAAAATGTTTTTATATAGTTGTGCTGTACAACATGATAGCCACGACCCACAAGTAGCTATTTAAATGTATTATAAAACAAAAAACAAAACAAAAAAAAAAACAAGGGCATTTAGAAGCAATCAACCCTAGGACACGACGGCCCTCGAGATCAGAAGAACCAGATGGTGCCCGGCTACCAATGCCAACCACTCAGGAAAGGATCAAATCTGGAGATCCTGGATAGAGTGGGAGGGAAAACGTGGAACAAAATCCCAAAACTC